TTTCATCAATTCGCGTTGTAGCTAATTAGATCATCCAAATTGTACGATTTCTTAGTGACGTTAGCTAAGTAGAAAGCACTGAAGAGCTCGTTACGTCTAAGTCATGGCTTCAAGGCACAAAAAACACTAGGCCGGTTAAGGACATTTCGTCCCAAAGAAAAAACAGAATTTCACCGGTCTGAGCTAAACAGTCGACTTATCAGTTTAGCCATTCGATTGTAGAAGTAGGGAAAGATGAAAAATTTTCGGTCCCGCTACTATGTGTAACGCTGTGCAAATTACAGGCAGTATTATCGTGCTTCAAGTGCCGTACGAGCTTCGCTATAATCTATAATAAAGTGAAGTAAAGACTTAGCGAATTCAACGTATGGTAACGAACGGAAAAAGTAGTTTCTGAAATACCCGATGTTCAGCCCAAACGGTATATATGTTCGTTTGTATGAAAGGTACTGCCGACCGATTTTGAACAGAAAAAAAATTGGAAGATAGAAGAGATAACAAACATTTGGGGCAATCCCTAGCGTCGATTTGGCACAACGACAAGCGCCAACGACAGGAGTCGTCCTTCACGTACGCTCCTATTCGGTGTAAATTTTTGCTATGCGATTGTCAAACGCTTGTCCGTTCCATGTAGTTTATTGTCTCGCGAATTTTATTCAGATGCAAGCAAATCTTTGAGATTTAGCTAGGTGGAAACCTTTTAAATTTAAGATCGTTGGGAGCGGAAGGAAGGAAGGCAGTCAGTTGATCAACGGGTGGAGGTTATCCACATGTCTGCTTAATAGTCCAAGTGCTCAAAGTGAAATTTTCGGCAAAATGCATAATAATTAATAAAGAGATCTTTTACCGCGTGACTTCGGCAGAGTCGAGTAAATTTTTACCGTTGCATTTGATATAAACAGTAGACTTTCAAAGCAGGGTCATCTTAAAGAGCCTACGAAGGTCCTATGGTCAAGCTAAGGCATGTGTTTCTTTGCTTGAATGCCCACACATTAGGATAATCTTAAATCTGTTCGCATGTAGCTTTAAAATCGTAACTTCTGCCTGAAGGAATCGTCTATATCTTTAGTGCTGACCCTAGCTGCTATAACTTAAGTCATCATAATTACGTTTTTCCTTCAGTATCGACACAAACCTTTCATTCATTGCAAACTTTTGGCGAGTGCCCTTCTATAAACCTACTCACAGGTCAGGTACGACGATTATATGCATTCATGATATTAACAGTACTTTCAACGCTTGCGGTAGCATCTATATGCAGCTAATCGGGAAAAGTAGCCGCTATAATAGTTTAACAATTATCATTATATAGGTGGCTTTTATCAACGTTTCACACTAAAGTATGATCATGATCAGATCAACTTACGCTTATCAGAATGTCTATACAGATCGCACGACTTTACTGTGCATGATCTCCAGATGAACCGTACTTAACGCAAGACAAACCTAGAGGAAAGTGACGAAAAGCAACGCGGGTGCGATCAATGATTGCAAACCGGCATACGACGCGTCAATTGCCCCATGGCCACCGTTGGCACTTTTCTTATATTCAGCTGCTATAGTTAGCTGCCAATATGTTCACCGAGGTACCGTTTACGTTTACTTCCACGATTTCGACTATTACGCTCATACTATTTATAATGGGTTTCTTTCTCGTCCCGCAATATCTTACTCTCAACTCTGTTTTGCGTTAAATCACTATATTATATTACTAAAAATTCTGCTGCTATATCACATTCCCCTTATCGTCCGTTAGCGAACAACTCTACGAACAGATCATGTTAGTGGTCAGCACTGATATAGCGATCCCTGAAATTGTTGTCGGCAGGGGGGCAACCGTTGCCAACTGATGCTGTTACGTTTTCCGGAAGCGAAGTAGATGAGATAGGCCGATTGCGCTAAACAGCAATTCATTAGATTCATCCAATTAGGTTTACATAGGCACGAACTAAAGGCACGCACATGCTGCATCTATGGATGTCTCGTAAAGTTGATCCGGCTGGCTTCGCCACAGTCTCCGCCATCGTCAACGAAATCGTATAGTAGGTAGTTCTAGCAGGCGAATCTCGGTGTGTGAACTTCGACACTCAGTTGATTACTAGCGCTGATATAATAGCACACAGAGTAAACTGATAAAGTAAGCAGTAGAGCAGTCCTCTAGCTGAATGTGGCTTGTGAGAATGACTTCACACGGTTACGCATTGAAGCGCTATTGGCAATCGGTGATATTCGCGGTGTTAGTGATAGTCCGATAACCTAACAAAAACCATGGCGCTTTCAACATTTTAATCGATAGGATCCCTTTCGTGTATTTTACGGTCAAAAAATAGATCGGAAGACAGACTGAACGACAAACAAGTAGACATTATCGTTCGTCTGATGTACGAATACTCCGTTATAGAAGATTTTCCGTCAAAAATGCCACTCACCGTCAAAGTGGTGCCGATATTTCTAACTCTTCCGACAAGAAGCAGCGCTCATTGACCTGTATTGGTTGTCTTACGTGTAGAGGATATTCTGTATGTACGGGCAATATATCGTTGACATTATGACGGGACTGGGTTCTGACTTTTGGAGACCATTATGTCTAAGAACTGTACCAGTTTCACTATCACCAAGAGTAACGGCAGCAGCAGCAGTAAGAAACACGAAGAGTACCAGAACCAAAATGAGACAATGAGAATATAATAAAAGCAAAGATAATGGCCACTGTTTCATTTGAATCGAACATAGCTTTCAATGGAACTCATCACAGCATGATGTCGCCACCGCTGGGACTGGTAAGGTAATCGCTTATGTTTAGATAGATTAATAAATGTATATAATGTTGCAAAAATCACACATCGAATATATATATATATATATTACCCTGAACTCAAATATCCGCTACGATTTGGATAGGAGCATTGAGTTTTTTTATAGAAATATGTCAGGTGAGTAGTTTGAGGTGTGAGGAAACGGGACCTGTGCCATGTGGGATTCTTGTCGCTCATGCAATTGAGAATGCCATCTATAGATCGCCATATCCCTTTTTGACTGCACAGAAAACGATAACAGAATGGCGCTAGCGTGACCTTTCGTAAAAATAATATAATCATATGTAGACGGACTTTTTCCCTCGCTACCTCAAAGTAAATTACCTAAATACCTAAAATGTACCTAAAATGTCCTTAGAATATAAAATGCAACTTGCTATCGATGAGAATAACGTACGGATTGCCCAGGTACTAGAATTTGGATATCCTTTGTTTCCAACAGAAGCATATGATTCCTGTCTGTCACAAGATGTTCACATAAGGATTGGCGTTTCATAATAAAGGTAATTGAAATTAATAGTCATGTCTTACTGAATAACTACTCTGTTTACTGAGGTATTAAAAGTATTCTGCTTGTATAAAAGCGTAGGGTGGTAGAGGTGCGAAAGCAGACGCAGACAAATCTTGTTCCGTATTGAAAAGAGCCAGCCATCTGAAGCAGCTAGTATCCGACGTTAAAGCCAAAACACCTAATTTAGCATAAGCTCTCTGATGCTATGTATTTAGATAACAAGTATCTGATAAATTTAGGTAGATAAGATAATGTGGCATGTATTTTTTGTGTTTATATGCTTATTCAGACTGCTTACTAGATATAGATCTTATGACAGAATTGATCGAAAACTTACTAGAGAATTTGCAAAATGGCGAAGTCTTACTAGTAGCCGTTCTGTACGTTAATACGGGATGTATGTGTATAATGAGAAAGGTAAGTACAAGGGAGTTCGTCTCTAACGGCACACAATTTCGGACTTCATTATGATCATTGGTGAACGCAATCACTACTTCAAAAAGATAAATTCAAAAACCAGAAACGTCAACGCCACTCGAACAAACATATTCAGAAAAAATCTATCGCAGAGTAGCAGAGCAGAACATTTTCATTCAACATTAGCTGGTATAAACGAAGCAGTTTTAATTAAGCGCACAAAAATAATTATTACTTACAAACAAAAACACCGTTACGAGTTCTAAACCAATTTGGCAAATGAGATGGTAAGCTTGAAGTTTCAGTAACTATTTGATGAACAATGTAACTTGTAGGCAAACTACAAGTACGTCATATTAATTGCACGCACTGCCAGCAGCAGGATCGCCGCTGTCCCAATTTCATTTCTTTTGCCTCTAATCATGTACCCTCAGAGAACAACTCTAGATACAAATTTCAGGTACTATGCTCTTGAATATTATAGGCATAACAGAACGAGTATCTAAAAGAAATTTTACACATTTTTCGTATAAGCGAGGCAGTCGAAGTACACTATTTCCCTAGATGAACTATACTGGCAAAGCCTCTCTAATTCATTTTCAAGTCCCCAGGTTCACTGCGCATAATCAGAAGACAAAAACGGAACTCAGCTGGCCCAACAAAGTCTTACAGATACTACCCACTCCGCGGCTCTAGTGCTTAAGTAAAATTCCAGTGACAGAAAGCAAAATCTCTGATTCGTCTACCAAATGTTGAGTTGAGGTCTATTTCAAATATAAACAATGTCATTTGCACTATCAGGCTACAGTCTCGGGGTAAACCATTTACGTTTATCTGTTCGGATGCAAACACAGCACGAACACCCACTATAGTATCCAAACTAAGGGTCGTCATAATCCATTGCGGTGGCATTTTTTCACTTGCATTCTTCCTTAAAGGCACACTTTTTTGTACCTGCAGGGGAACTTGGTTCCGCGCATGCGTACGCCGTCGTGAGAGGCATACTGTCGCCACCTTTCGCCCTGCCAGGCCGTAAGCTTCACTCACTCACTTGAGGTGCACCATGTACTTCTATAGTACTAGCCCATTATAGAGTATTCGGCTAGTCGTTCCATCGAACCTGATGCTGATAATGATGACTGGATGCCTCCTCCAGAAATATTTACTATGACATATTACTGATGCAATCAATTCATATACGCTTTTGCTGAATCTGATAGTGACTAGATATAGGAGAGTGGTAGAAAATAACTCACAGCGACGAAGGGTTTCATCATGGTGTTTGTCGTCAGTTCGATGACGATGGTGCTGACGTCTTCAAATCTGAGGTAACGTGCAGTTCCACTTGTATTTATAACGATGCCCGCCCTACGGGCCAACGTTTACGTCTTACATTGTTGTCGCTGGCTGTAAAGGCAACCGAACAACGGAAAGGGAAAAGCGCGTAAGATAGCGCCGCCGAGAGGGTCCACCCCCCACTAAAGTCTCCTTGTCATCTGAAGATTTTGCTGTCCAGCAGCGAACAATGCATGCATATTTCATTTGGAAAGATGTTGACCGTTACGAGACGATACCGTCCTTGTTAAATGGGCTTGTTTGGCATGTATGGCTATTACTATTAATCTACACTTACGTCTAAAGGAGATGGATTAATGAAAATAACTACTGTAGGTAATATGGAGTCAGCGAGTGTCCCGTTAAAAGGAAATGAACGAATTCATATGAGTTTCTAGTCTTAACTGTAAATATTACCGCTATAAATATTTTAAAATGGCTGTTTTGTTCGGTGGAAAATTGCACAAAAAAAGAAAATGAAATCCGTTTCTGGATTCACCATGATATTGTTCAAATATTTGAGTGGGTGCATATTTGCGCTCGTTGGCATCTGCGTTTTTTTTACTTGGCTTAAAGCACGCCTTTTGCTCTATAAGACGGTTTAAACTCTCTTTTATTTCGGACTTCAGATATATCGAACCACCCAGAAACAGCATCTCCAAAAACCGCTTTCAGAAGTATTTCTTCCGTGTATTCTCCAGAGCTAATAAACATAGCAAATTTATTTCCGACAAATCTGAAAATTCGAGTGAGGCCCTTTATCACATTTTTCAATTTGGCAAGACAAAATTGCGTATCAGTTGCAGCTATGGAGTTTTTACGGTACACGCCCATAGCTTTCTCGCATACTTCTGCTAGTTGCTAACCTTGACGAAAACCGGACGAGAATCAGAACACAAAACACTCATTGTTTCAGGTCGGGTCGACAGAGAAGAATGGTTACAATGGGATACGGCACTTGACCATCAACAAACAAACAAACAAACAAATATATCAGAAAAAAATCAATCGACCATTTGCGAGAAGTCACCTTGCTCGAAAGAGGAAACTTCCAAAGCAGGCCAAATCTAATAACTTTCTTAAATTCAATAAGGAGACTTTAACCTTGCTGCTCGTCCTTAGCAATTCGATTTAAGAAATCTGAAGAAGATCTCAAACATACTTTGGTTGCAAGGAGCCTGTCACGGCTCGCAAGCACAGCGTTCTTCAATTAGATTTCTATGTAAAGGAAAAACCGTTCACAACGGCGTGTATAAACGTTACTATAGTAATTGGAGAGGCTGAGTAGAAATTGATTGAGTGCAGTATAGTCTTTAATTAATTTCACATTTTTTAATCAACATTTCATTATAACGTATTGATCGAACCGTTTGTAGCGGCTCTGAATCTGAACTCTCTCTCAATCTTGTTTTGGGATAAAACGTCAGCGGCTCCTTCTAAATGCCCAGTGCCAATCCCATATTTTTGTGAACTGGCCATTTCCCAATGCTGGGATGACTCGTAATTCAAATTCATTTTCCTATGTGCTAGTTGAAGGTGACTGCTCCCATTCAAAGAACTTACTCTTTATGGCGCTGACCTTTGCCATTATTGATTTGTTGTCGTGTTGGCGTATAGTTATGTTACGTTAGAGCATAACAACAACAGCACCGCCATACGTTTTGCAGCAGATGATGTCCATGCTGTATTCCTGATAACCAACGGATTAGATCAGAAATCTGCGTGCAGAAGTCAGTGGCAAAAGTATGACCAAAAAGTATACGAGACTCGTTTTCGTCGATAAGCCTGTCAGTTGATTTGAATAACGAAACGCCTGCCATTGAGTTGAATGAAGAAACGGGGGAGAGAAAAGGAGGCTCACACGAACGCAGGGGGTGCAACACGTCTTTTGTGTGCGAACAACAGCCAGCAAAGCTTCAACTAAGGAATATGGCTATTTTCGGTTTTTCTATGCCTTTTGTTTGTTCTGTCGAAATTTACCTCGGTAATTTTCTATGACATACAGCGCCGATCGCTGTCTGGGTGAAAGGAATCGAATAATTTCCCTTGCATGGCCCTGCTAAGCTTCGTAAGAATGGACCAGTACATGAACACGTTTGCCCTCGTGTGGCAAGTCACTAGCAGCAGCACAGCTACCACTTCATCTAAAATCCAGCAGCTCTCCGTGTCTCGTTTTGCTGTGAAGTATGATTAAATTATGTCGACGAATTCGTTGTATTCTGCCTAAGAAAAAGCTGCCCGCGTCTGTGTATACGGTGACTGGCAAATACCGTTTCAAACAACTTGTTTGGAAATGTTTTATTTTATTAACGATTTAAGAGAAAATGCTGGTCTTCTCCTTGTTTACCTCCCTAATTGTTTTCCCGATATAAACTTTTTTTTTGTTAACAAAATAACATTTATCTCTGACGCTTCCTCACCTACGACGACTCTGCGCAACTACCGCTTTTGTTTCGCGCTAGAATGAGCCAGTGTTCGAAGCAGCGCTTAATAACAGTGCCAGGCTATTTTCCATCTATCGTTATTCAACGTCATTCAATCCTGGGTCTAATTTTACTGATAATCATGTTTCACAGTGTGACTGTTATTAACTTATTTAATAATGCATAATGCCGAAAGTATCTTTCGAACACCTAATTAAATGAAGGATTTAAGTTGACACTGCGGAAGTGCGTATTTAAAGTTTTGATCATTGCACAGAGGATGTTTCCCTTGGCATCGATTGCAGTCGTCTTGAGCGCTAAGTCGGAGTCCGTATGAATAGTAAAAGGTTATCGTATTGTTTTACTGTCAAATTTCATCCATTTTCGAAAAGTAAAATTAAATTTCGCCAAAAAAATAGACTATAGTAACTTCCACCGTGCTGATTAGCCCAATGAGGTGCCGTAACGTGTAGGCCTTCGTATTCGAGCTAGACGGTTTTGATGCGTATTCGCCTGAATGAAGTTGCCCTCTGCGAACGAATCTTAAAGAAAAGCCTGCAAAAACGTCACGAAAACGAGCGCTGGTCGATGGGGCAGCAAAGACGAATGTCCGGGACACAGAGGCCGCGTATGGATGTCAAGAATAGAAGTCTACGAATAGGACGCGTCAAACGAACTTAACATGCAGGATGATATGCTGATGATCTTACTCGAGAACGTTGAAAGCTTCTTTATACGTATGTTTGAAAAACAACTGCTGGCACAAAACAGTAGTCAGCGTGTTACTGGTCATGTAAAGGTCTTCCAAACAAAAATTTCGAAGGACCAAGCCACCTTTATACACAGTTAGCAAATACACTTTATCAGTATGTCTGATGTACTTCATTACATTTAGTCGACTCCAACAGCCACGTTAGCAGTACGGGAATACGGCCATAACGCGCGTTCAGCGATCTGTTTCAGAATTAATTCGTCACACAGTATCATCTAAAGACGCCGGCCGCGTTGCTGCCTCCATAGAATAGACTTGCCTCGAGTAATGATTGGGGCAAGACTAAAGAATAGTTGTGCCCATTCTTGGTCAGGGGCAGCCTCAATAAAACGTGGTCAGAAATTTCGCACGCAGTTGCGAAGCTGCTTAACATAAAAATAAGTCAAGATAACGTCTAGGGCAAAACAATAATAATAGCAATAATCATGCTGAGAACTGTCGGGTCAAAAGAAGCTAGAAGTTGGACGATCACCAGAGTGCCATGAAACTGTGTAATATTACTTGTCTATGCGCTATGCGACAAGTTTTCTTTATATTATACAAAGAGATTGTCGCAGCAACTAGGCGCAAGGTACAAATGAGGACATGATCAGTATTTATTTGCGCTGTTTGCGTTTCGGGCTTGATTGACGACTTTGTGATCATAATTAAAGAAAGCTATGGAAGGTTCGAAGGATGAAGTCCATTACTGGTTTAGATAGAAAACTAGTCTTCACATGAAAGGTGGTGTCGGAAGTACGCCTTAACCAGCAGAAACCAGTATTGAATGGCTAGAATCATCTTCGTGACACATGTTCTAAATAGAAGCGTGAAACCAATAGACGCGGTAGGGTTTGTAGAACATATATTACCCGATTTCAATCGGTTGTTTTTACAAAAACATCTTATAAGCGATGTAAAAACATACAAAAATAATGTACAGGCATTTAACTTCATCATCAGCTTATGATCTAACTTCCATAACTATCGTAGTTGACGCAACTCGTAGAACACAAATGTGAAACTTAATTGGACAGGCTTTGCCATACAGATGTGTTAAGCCTCACGCTCGCTTCTTGCTTAATCCGATAAGGATACACCGCGCGGTATTCGAGTCCTTCGCTAAGATCGGTTCGACAATTTCTCAAAGAAGAGTGCGTGTGATTCTTCATAATACTAACGTTATTCTTGCGTCGTGCAGCCAATAGCCACTCACGATTATCTATTAATGTTCATCAAACCAGTTTAGCATCAATGCTATTGTAAGTTACTATTAATACTGGGTTGTTCAAGTTTAATTAACGTCGTGTCTCTAGTTGCCGACAGTAGTTAAGACCTACCTAGTCGCAGATACTAGTAGCAATGACGTGTGCTGCGTACTCTGTGTGTTATCGACTTGCGACAACAACAATGCAGCCCCCGGGGGAAAGCGGACACGTCTATTCGTATACGCCCGGAAAACCTCTCACAGTAACAAGCATCAGGCAGTAGATACGTTATTCGAGAGGCTGCACTCTCCCGTACCGCGGGCAGATTCAACCAGGAATAAATCTAACAGGGAACAAATGTGTTTTCTGGGCGATTTGGGCCCGCGTTAGCTATCGGCACATAGCGCAATACAGGGCACGAAGCATGAGAACTAATTAGACCAAGTGTCGGTCAGGCTTATGGCAAGAGATAAGCAACTACTTTTAAAGATAGTAAATCGTCAAGATGTGTTGAAAGGCTTAGCCTTAGTCAGGCGAAATCAATAATCTTGCAGGTCACGCGTGCTATTTGCCCCTTCAATCTGCAGTAAACAGCATATGTCGGGCCGGTAATAATTCCTGGCACTTGA